TTGTTGAAGTTTATTCTTATAACATTTAAAGAGAGATTTATCATAATATGAGTTATATATATATGATTGGATTCATTAAAAATTAATAAAGAATATATAAGTAGCAACTTTATATTATATATACTAATTAATCTTATTGTTTCTATCACATATAATCTCCTTTTCTATTTCAATTGAAACATATTTTAGTTTTAATTTATTTTTATTTATTTGATCTAAAATGAATGATTATTTTTATTGCAATTTTGAATTTTAATATGAAATATACAACATATTTTTAACATTATTTAATTATTATTGCTTTATTATCTTTGATAATGATATCAACCCTCTAATTTCAATCTTAATTACCATTAATTGTTATACATTATGAGAATGTTATATAAATAATTTTCAATTCAATTTTGGTCTCTTTATAAACTACATTGATTTGTTGTACAAATCATAAGTATCTTTGATCGACAATTAAAGATCATCTGTTTTAATAACATTTCCGAGTTCCTAATTTATATTATACTCTAAATTACTTCTTCTAAACTGTCCAATTATTATTAGAAATCTAATTTTGAGACATGTTCAAAGAACTTATTAAACTCTGGAATTTCTTTGGCATCTTTCATAGTGATTTCAAGTTTTTGCATTTCTTGAATCATTTCATCTTTGACATTACTCATATCATTAAAGCAATTATAAAAATTTTAAAAACAATTATCTAGTTCTGGATTATGTTTTTCTTATTTTAAGAATAAAGCCATTTTAGGAATTGATTACTCATAAATTTCCTAAAGGTAATGATTTAATTAATCGGGTTTTTGTTTTGATTTTCCAAATAGCAATTAGATTTGTGTATTTCTTAATAGTCCTTAACTTTGTTCTTAGAGTTCTTTATATTCTTATAACTGTTAATTTAAACCTGCCACCTTAAATTAATGTTAAAATATACTTTATTTTCTAATAGATCAACATACATCTTTTTTCTTTTTCTGCTATTTTTTGCAGATTCTCTATTTTTTACAAGTTTCATTCTTTCACGAACAATGATCTCTTGATCAGTCAATGCTAAATTAAAATGAGATTTTTCTAACCCCTCTATCCTCTTTTCTTTGGTTTATAATCGAATGAATGATCAAGAAAGTCATAATAATCATTATCCATGTTTTAATTTTATTATACTTTGAATTTTAGTATTCTAATTGACGTATATATATATCAAGATGTTACGTATTATAATTAAATTTAATTTTTATTTGATGATGTTAATTATTCAATCATAAATAAATTCAAAAATAATTTAATATATGATAAAAAATAATGAATTAAAATCATTAATTTTGAATTAAAGTTAGACTAATCAAATACAACTGAATTTTATTGTATTATCATCAAAATTCATGTTAGATTCATATTATTATTATAAGATATAGAATAATATTGACATTCTTATTTCTGTTGAAATTCAAATTAAAAATTTTAAATATGCTATTAATATTCTTGATCATACTAAGTTTATTTATAATAAATCTTTATCCAATCAACTTTAAATCAAAATTTTTATATATTCAAAAATATTATCATATCATATATATTTATAATAAAATTGAGTTCTAATTTTTGTAATTTGAAATAGTTTTCTTTTAACTTTCTAATTAATCTATTTAATATAGAATATGAATACAAAGTTTTCTTATCAAATTGAATAATTATTATAATAATTTAAAAAGAATTATAAATAGTTTAAATTAATGAATAAAAATAGATATAATAAAATTTAATGTAATTAAGAATCATTAAAATATTAATAATATCAATATGATGGGTAAAAGATATGAAGCAAAATCTTCATCGACTTTACAAATTTATGGACAATTAAATGATCCAGTTATATAATCATTACATTTTAAACAATAACCATTGTTGCTGATAAAAAATTAACTATCTTATTATTCATCAAATATTGGAGTCTCTTCTCCTTCATCATAAAAAAGATTACGTGATTCATCAAAGTAAATCTGAGTTTCACAAAGATAACAATAACCGTTAACATTCGTAGCTAAACAATTTTCTTTATATCTTTTACAATTATTGTCAGTGACAGTTAAATAATATTTATCAATACAAGTATTACATTTATCTAAATCTCCATCACAATTTTCACAACCAGTCAAACATGGTTTACAAATTGAATCAAATAGTCCATAACCTTTTTCACATTTTATACATCCTTTTAATCCTCCACATTCTAAACAAAAACTAACTTCACAATTTTGACATTATTTTAAATCATCCAAATAATACCCAGAAATACATGTTTAACATTATGATTCATTTAAACATTTTTAACAATTAGATGTACAAAGAACACATAAATTTCCAAAATAGCCTTCATTACATTCTTTACAGATAAGTTATTTATCATTATCAACATCACAAGTAATACATTTTTAGATATTTTATGTACAATTCTTGCATATATTCATTTATAATGTAGAATCAAATACTAAATTAAATCCAAAATTGCAATCATGACATTAACCTTATGAATTATCAATAGTATAACAATTGTATATATTTTTAATACATGTATAAGTATTTGATTCTTTAAATAGTAAATAACCTACATTACATTAAGTAGGTAGAATTTCAGAGTTGCATCTTCTAAAATTGTTGCTACCATTATTACAAGGTTCACAAGATTTTGAATCAGTTGTTAAATAGTATCCATTGTTGCAATCTATACATTAGAAATTCCTACTCCTTTCATTAGTAGTACATTTCATACAATTAGGAATTTATTCTTAACAATTCTCACAATAAGAATCATCATCAGATAATAAATATCCAGGAAGACATGTATAGCAAATTTATGGAAGTTAATTAGGGTTTTGACATGTGAAACATCCACTAGGACATTTGAGACATATATAATTTTCTTAATCAAAATAATAAGTATCCAGACATTCTAAACAAATTAATTATTCTTTATTGAAAACACATGATTTGCATCCATCTTGATTTTCCTAAATATTACAAGTTAAGCAACTCAAACTTTATTAATTAATAGCCATATAATAACCATCTTCACAAACAGTGCAATAATACTTAGAATCACAAACTGAACATCCAGTTGGACATGCTTAACATGTTTCTTATAGAAAGTGTTTATCCAAACATTTTTAACATCTTCCATGAATTGAAATTTATGTGCATGCTTCCACTTTTAGACACACTCCATTTATCATGATATATCCATCAATACAGAGTGTACAGATGAATTAAGTTAATTCAGAGGATTAACAACATTTAATGCATCCTTTGGGACAAGGAGTACAACTTTAATTAATTGAATCATAATAGTATTAATTCAAACATGAATCACAACCTTGTGATGATGAACATTTACAAGAGGGCTATTTACATTTAATACATTATTATTCATTCCAAAAATAACCTGTTAGATTAGTTGCACAACTTTAAGAAATCCTAATACTTTAATCTTCTTTAGTAAATACTATGGCAATTAATAAAAATAACATTAATTAATATTCATATAATTTATATCATCTATTATTGATTTGAATATTATAATATTCAAAATAAACATTTCCATAAACTTATTGAATATGGATAAAAATATATCAATACAATTTTAAGTTTTTGGGTCATTCATTAAATAAATTGCTGTCATTTATAAGTTCAAATTCTATTCTTCATATTTCATAAATTCAACTCATTCTTAAATATCTATATTTAAAACAGTGATACTAATTTTAAAATTAAAGCTAAATGGAGTAAAATTGTAATAAATTTTGGATTCATAAAAGCAAGTTTAAAAATGAAGGTTTATAGTTGAAATCGAATTTTATTGGTTAAAATGACAAAGATCTAAAATTAAGAAAATAATTATGAATTAAATTTTAGATAGTTCAAAACTATTTTAATTGAAGGTGACAAAATCGTATCTCATATGTTCAATTGAAATACACATTATGGTCTATCAAATATAAAAAAATAAAAATTCTAAGGATCAGAATTTGTTTAATGTTTATTATTTATTATGATGTTTAAACATTTTATATTAATGAAACATTCTATTACTCCATTTTAAGGGGTAACATCATTAACTTACTTATATAATGAAAATAATAAATATAATTTATGTAAGGATTAATTGATATTGAACCAAAATAATATTTAGACTTCATTATTCAAGAAGGTAAACTAGGATAAACTACCCTCAATGTTTTCAACTTGACTTCGAATAAATTATCATTCAAAGTAACCATATTCACTTATTATAAGATCAAAACTGCAACCCCAAACTTGTTTTAAGTTAAACCAAGTATAGGGATCATATAGCCTAATAATCAAGTCTCTATTGTTATTACAACAACTCAACCATTGAAAGAGGATAGCAGATTAGATTCTAAATTCCAAATAAATGCGTGTACACTTGAATAAGATGAATAAGGTATAGCAATTTCTATAACAAAAGATCTTGCCAATTTTTGGAGATCACTAGATGCATCACTGATATAATAAGTGCAAGTGAAAAGTCGGATTAAACCTGTATAAATACAATAAGAAATAATTACATAATAATTGCAATAAAGTGTGATATCAGAAACTCATGATAATATGAGTTAATTATACTAATCAATGAATGATACATAATCAAAAGAAAAAGATGAGGAGATATAGAGATATCAAGAGTAGATAGATTAATTGGTATATAATATATTTTCATTGCTTTAGTCCAAGTAACTCTCCGATTATCAATTAATGCTTAAAAGTGTGAAATAGCAAGAAGTAGCTGTTAAACATCATGGTATAATATATCTCATATTCTCAAATAGCTAATAAATTCGATTTGAAATAAGTATTGATAATTGCTTTGATTTCGGTCATCTTAGGATTCATATTTGGGAAATGATTAATTAAAATTATCAATTAAATTGGAACAATTACTATAAGAAATTGTTAATGTCAATTTTACTTTAATAATGTTTCTTGAAATTACTTTTATAATCAAAATGAAATCCTTATAAAGAGAAGCAATTGATTCACAAAAAAATCAATTAAGAAACATTCTTTAGGATATTCTTCAAATCGACAATCCAAATTTTCATCAGTCCAAAAGACCACCCATCGAATAAATCATGGAACTCAGACAAATCCAATTATTTAATATTTTATTTTATTACAGCATCACAATTTAATCATAAAATCAAAAAGAAGCCCAAATTTCATCCATCTTTCATTTATATATTTGATTCTTTAAAGTAAATTTCTAATAATTTTAAGTATAGTTCATCTCCTTTTTTCATATTAGATGCTATTACTTAACGCAAAATATTAAGCATAAATAAAGAGGCTCTATAAAAATCAACAGAGTAATTTTAATAGATGAAATATGTCAAATTGAATCTTCATTAACATTATTTTAGATAAACAATATTAGTAAAATTTATTCATGATTATATCAAACAAATAATCTCAATGCTGGTTACTTTTATATCATCTTTAATGTCTTATCCTAATCTTAGGATTAAAAACCTAAAGGATTCTCTCGAAGCTGTAGTTTATTGTTTGTTGGATTTGTGAAGGCCACAATTCTATCACTAATTGGAGGTAATTTTAATGGTTTATTCATATAATCATAGGGTTAGGTTTTTACTATCGATTATTAAACTGGGGATAGTTGAACTGAAAATGATTTATTTCTTTAAGGTTATGGAGAGTATGCTTCTTATTCTTCATAACTTTATTCAATTTGGGATTAATATAATGCTTTATTTTTTTATGCTTTCTACTCTTCTCTTTACATTCTCAACTTTTAAGCTACCTCCTGATTACGAACTGCTTTACTCTATAAAGAACCAGGAACTGCTCCATCAATGTCATTTGTACATAGTAACCTATCAGCCTCAATTTATCCTCATCAAAAACAATTATCATACTTAGGTTGATCATAATAATTCTCCAATGCTTTATATTATTTGATTTCTCCTTCTGGAATTATAAAGTGTTTCTTATTGGATTTTTCAAAGTACTCTTCTCCTTATGGAATACATATATTGCAAAAATGATGGAAATCATGTTAGTACCTTCTTCTTCCAAATTTGTAATCTTATTTTGGAATTTGTTGTCTTTCATGATTTTATATTCAATACTAAACTCTTATTTGTTCTTCATATCTCATTTAATGTGGCAATAACCTATTCATGTAAGAATTTCTAGATTTAGGTTGGGCCCCTAAAATATCAACTGTCAAAAGTGATCGATCATATTACATTTTATTTTATAATTATTAAACTGTAATAATATAATTATTGTATATATATTTTTATCAATTTTCATACATTATTACATAAATTCCTAAATTTTAACTCTTTATATTCATTTTTTAATTGGAGGTTTTTTTGCAAAAATCCATATAATCCTCTTTGCATAATATTAATTGAAGTTTATCTTTAATTATATTATATTTATGAAATTATATATATATATAAATTTATATTTTTAACGTATGTAAAAAAGAGACAAATCTCCAATCATACATGTAAATCTTATGAAAGAAAACATTCATAATAAACAACATTCCCTTAATAAAAATAGCATTTCAAGTAAGGCTAGTCTCAATTTGGTCAAAGTACTAGCAACAAGAAGATCTGACATGAATTCACTTTGGGAACCATCTGAAGATTCAAAATTACATTCAAATAGATTCGATAATTATTTTCAAAGACATTCTACTAGAAGATCTAATGCTTAAACTTCTAGAGAAAGGGAAAGAGATTTTTCAGACTCCCCAAAACAATCTCCATCACATTATTAATGTGTTAAGCATTTTAATAAAGCATAATAAAGAAAAAGGACTGCATAGTTCATTTGTTGTTTACCTAAATGTGATACTCATTTATTGTGTAGAGAATGTAAATATAAAATATTCTAATGTAAACATGATTAAATTGTTAAATTGACTGAATTTATTGAATAACCAATTTTAATATTTCTAAAAGCAGATAATTAAAAAAGAGAACTTGTTGGTAACCTAATTTTATAATAAATGCAATTATTTCATGTATTTATATTTTCTTTATTTAGAAAGTCAAATATCAAGCAGAATAATCAAAGAAATAATTATAAGAGTACTTAGAGAATATATAAGACTAACTCAAAATGAAATGTCAAGTTATATAAACTGAATTTGATGAAAAAGTTGATGTAATAAATTATTTATATAATTTAAAGTTTTAATTGAAATAAATCAGAAATGATATTGATTAACTAGTTTAAACCAGTTTAGTTTACAAAGATGATTTTGAGAATAGACTGAATCAAAAAGATGATTTCATAGAATCAGTAAAACTATTCAAATAATAAAGTGAAGATCCTTATGATTAAGTAATGAATTAAGTAAATCAATTGCAACTAAATCTCAATAAAATTCCTCAATTGAATTCCATTGTTTTAGAATTGAAAACTGATATTACTATCAAAGAGTTTAGTTATAATAAATTGATAATTTGATTGACTTTATATAAATATATACATAATTAATCAAAATTGTAAATCACCATCATCATATGCTTCCTCTTCAATATTTTCATAAGCCTTTTGTCTTAACTCTTATTTATGCTATTAAATATATAACATTTATTATTTACTTTAATATAAGCTTAATCAAAATCGTCTTCAATTTAACCTGTCTAATCTTCAACCTAGTTATTTTCAATCATCTGTTTTTATTAGAGATTTCCTTAAATAATTACAACATCATTCTATTATTCTTCATAAATAGTATGTTATTGTTTTCTATAATCTTTATCTTATTTTGGTTTTTATGTCAATTTATTAAATTGTATCTTTGAACAGATAGCTTCTAATTTATTTATAGATTTTGTTCTCTCTTCCAAAAGATAATACAATTTAGAAAAATCTCCTACTCCTCTCTTTACTATAGCTTTTATCCATTCTAGATACTTCTTTGTTTATTCAGGATAACTTATTAATTTATCTACAATGAAATGCTAAAGCTCTTATAATTGTTCAAGTTATAAATTATTCACAGATTCAGCAATACCACTTTGAAGAGTTCTCTCCAAAGCATATTCTAAATAAGTCTTATCCTTTGCAATTAATGATTATTTAAGCACATTAATCATATTTTATTCGCTAATAATCTTTTTTGACTCATTTTTATCATCTTTAATTTGAGAGGTTTTGTTATTAAAATAAGCAAAATCATAAAAAGCAATAGGAATAGGATTTGATTATAACTTATTTTACTATTGTTCCAATTACTTTGATTATTACAATTCATTGAATCTTAATAATTATTCTTATTAGTATAAAGATTTGAATTTTTAACTTTCAATATTATTAATCTACTTTAATTTTGGATTACTTATATTATCATATACAATTAGTAATCTTTCTCCTTACATAACAGATTATAAATTATTTATCTTTATTTCATATTATTTATTTAATTCTTTTTCAAAAACATAACTTATGATACTATCTTAATTCCACAATAGTAGTGTTGTTTTCTTTGCCATATAAAATAATTCATAATTTTCATAAATTCCAATCTCAATAGTTAATATTGCTTCTTAATTGTCACCTAATTTGAATATCTTCAATAAACCCTCTTTGCCTAAGACAGAGAAATAGTCTTTTGATAAATTATTTAATTTGACTATCAAAGGTCCTTATTGATTAATTTTATATTTTGTTTCTATTACCTTAAATTATTATTATTTTTTTTACATCATTTTCTAAATTGATTAAAACTATCTTTTAGCCAAATTGTACTAAAACATGAGAACTTAAAAGAAATAAAGTGCCTTCCTTTATGTGATTCGATAATTATCTAGAGTATAAACATTAAAATGTTTTGATATTAGTTTACTTTATTAAACCATCTGAACCTAAAGATAATAACATTCCATCTTTAACTATTCCATTTAAAAATTAACTAGAATGTACTTAGAATGATTCATTTTTGTAATACAATTTTCCTTATTTGTCTCCTACTAATAACTCATTATCAAAGTAATCAATAAATGAAATTTCAGCATCTCTAAAATTAATTTGTTTCTGTTTAAAATGCTCCAAATCAATTATATTGATCAATGTTCTAAAACTTTAAATAAGCAAGAATTTCTAGCAAGATGACAGTTTAATAATTTCTTTCTCAATTTCCATTAATTAATTTATGATAAAATAAAATAATCAACTTTTTTTTGCATATCCTTCATTCTTCATACAAATTGTGTGCTAATTTATCTCATTTTCACAGTTATTTTCACCCTTTTTAAAGATGCATTGATCCCGTTAAGCTCGAGTCTAATCGCATATTACAGGTTATAAGATGTCTTTTGAATATTATGAACCCATGTTTATTTTTATTATTTATATTTATAATATAATTTATGTTTACACTTTAAATAACGGATTGCCAATTTATTGAGGATGTTGATCAAATATTAAAATTTGATGATGCTAGAAATTTATGTTTGAAAAGAAGAAGTGAAATTGATACAGTTAGTACTAATCTAAATACACAAATAAAAAATTATATTGATGGAGAAGTACTCATCCTCCATTAAATTAGGATTAATATTTAAGAGAGGTTTAAGTGAAGGGTGAATCAGTGAATTAATCTGTTATGGAAAGTCTAAAATTGTTGGAAGTAAAAATGTGAGTTATGTTTAGCACTTAAAAGTGCCCACTCATATAGATTCAGAATTGAATTCGGCTTAAAAAGAATTTAAGAACATTGAATTAAAATTGAAATAATAAGAAGAATAAAAAAAATGGGCTGAGCAAGAGACTATAAAATAAAAAGCAAGATTAGTCAAGCTTATTGAAGAAATTTAGCTTTCAATCCTAAGTAATATTAATTTTATCAAAAGATAAACTTGATGTCCCTGAACCAGATAATAAAACTGGCATAATTTTTAATTGGGTGATTGGTTGTTTAATGAAGAAGAAAAAAGGACCAATATAGCTTGCAGAAGAACTTAAGTTAAAAGTTGAAAAAATTCAATTATAACCTGAATCTATAATCAATCAACCAGCTCCTCCTTAAAGTTCAGGAATATTTGCTTGTGGAGGTAGAAAACCTCTTTCAAATTCAAGACCAATAAAAAGAGTTGCATTATCAGAAGAAGAATCAAAGATGTATGAAAATTTATTTGCATGGAAAGCAATTAAATAACACATTTTTCATTAAGACTTCAAATTTTAAGAGAAAGTTCTGCAATTCTCATAAGATTATGAGAAATTAGAATCTTTTTAAATTATGTTGGTAGATGAAATGGTCTCAGAGAAAAAGGAAATAATTAAAGGAATATATGATATTGATATTAAGGATTAAGCTAGAATTATAATTGAGATAAATGAAATAGTTTTATTTTTATTAAAGGAAAGTGAGAATCTAAAGGAATAAAAATAAAAAGAATAAGAATTGGAATAATTAGATTAGGGAATTAGATAAAAAGAGGTTGAGATAGAAATAATGTAGAAAGAAAAATCATATCATACTGCAAAAGAGAAAAGAATATCTAGTTTGAAAAGCACTATGTCTTTGCTTTTTGCTACAAGTTAAAAAGTTGCAGATTTCTGTAAAGAAAAAATGGTCTCGAATGATTAAATTGTTGCTTAAATTGAAGTAATAAAATCCCAAGGATTATCAAAAGAATTAAAAGTTTTCTAAGATGTTGAGGATATATATCGTAGAAAAAGATAATTTTATGAAGAATAGTTATTGAGTTAGTAATAGAAGGAAGAAGAAAGAAAAGCATAAGAAGAATCTGAAAGAAAAGCGAAGGAAGAAGAAGATAAAAAAAATTAATCTCAAAGAATAAATCTAGACTCAAAAGATTAAGATAAACTCAACTAATAAAATGAAGATGTAAAATTTTCATATATTATAAGGAAAATAAAAGTGAAATAGATTAAAATGAAGATGAAGATTTTGATGAAGTAGATTCAGATAATAGTGATTAAGATGGAGAAAAATAAGATTGGATTGTAATTTAAATTCCTTATTATTTAGGTCCTTTCTGAAGATCCTTAAACTAAGCATATTTAAAAGACTTTATTTCCTGATAAAGTTAAAACTGCAGAAAATAAAAATAATGCTAAATAAAAAAATTAAGGAGAGTCTTTAAAAACTTTAATGTAGAAAAGAAAAAAGAATTGAATATTTATATAAACAAAAATTTAAATACCAAGAATATAATAGTGACGCAATAATTAAAAAAATTATTTACATTATTATTTATTCATGAAGAGATATACTAATAAAGAAGATTCAGCAGAGGATTTAACTACTTACTGGGGCAGACTCAAACATTTTTAAAATATTATAAGTCCTGCGTAATGATTTATTTTAATCATAGCAACATTTTTTATTCTTCTCAATAATTAAATGAATATGGAAAAATTTTAGAAAACGTTGACAAAGATCCTTCAATCAGACAATAATATACAGATTAATAATTATGGAAAATGAGATATGTTGTCGATTCAAACATTCACCCATAATTGAAGGAGCCTGTAAATATTCTCTTTAGAACCTCAACATTTGTTCCTGTAAATGTTCCTTTAGCATTTGGATTAGCTGTATTACCACCTACAGTAATTCTTATTTTCATTCATAGCCAATAAATCAATTACTAGCTTAATCTGCTAATCAAACTTATAACTTTATGTTTAATTATTGTAATAGAAATGCCTCTAATGTATTTTCCAATGAGATGTTAGCATGTAACATATTTATTTTATCATTAGTCTCCTATGGTGGAGCAGTATCATCAGCTGTAGTTGGAAGTTTGGGAACATCTTGGCTTTTCAAAAAACTTAATGCTCCTGCACTTCTTATTAGAGTAATTATAAATCTCAAATTATTTAAAGGCCTGTCCCTTATTTGGTGTACTTATTGCCAATACATTTAATCTATTTTTTGCAAGGTATCCTGATTTTTAGAAAGGAATTCAAGTTTTTGATGATGAAACATAAGAACCTTTACCAGGATTATCTAAAGAAGCTGGTAAATGATCCATTTCTATTGTTTTAGCAAAAATTGCATTCTTTAGAACACTTGTTACAAGATATATTTTGCCATTACCTATGTTTATTCCACCAATCGTAATTTATTTCATGAAATAAGCTAAATGTTATCCTTAGGGGAGAGGAATAGGTTTAGCACTAGATTTAAGTATTATTATTATAACCATTAGGTTTATCCGGATTTTTCTTATATTGTGGACTTTCTGTTGGAATAGGAATATTCCCATAATATTTAAAGGTTAATCCAACTGATCTAGAATCATAATATTAAAATTTAACAAATAGCAAAGGAAATAAGATAAAGACTATAGTTTTTAATAAGGGATTATGAAATTGTATAAAATAAAATAAGAAATTTTTAATATTCTAGTTAACTGTTATTTTTAATATTAATTAAATATGATTTTTTGTATATTAATTGTAGATTAAGTATAACTAAAGATTTATAT